ATAGGTCACAAATGATGCTGATAATTCTAGCATCACATAATGATGGTGATAAGGATTCATATGGATAGGATCTTGTTAATATACCAGGAATAACAATAAACATTTTACATAGATTATCTCGTTTAACCTTCAAAGATTTTTTTTTGAAAAATGCTCTGTTGTTAGCGTTATTTACAGCTGTGCAAGGCTTAAACAGCTTGCAAGTGGTGACACAGGATTAGCACAGAAGCACATACTAAAAACTCATACATCTAATTAAAGAGTTTATATCATAATACTTCCAAGAATTAACAGAATCACATCTTCAAGACCCCATCATATAACATGTTCCACATTAAAGTGAACTGTCCTATTGTTGGACATCTGAATATTTTCTTTGTTTCCTCTGGATCATGTAGAATTAAGTTACATCACTTATCACATGCCCACCAAGTATTTGGATTTATTTCATAGGGTCCCAAAGTCTTCTTTTTTCTTCCCCATTCTTCTAAAACTCTTAGAATTCTTCATCATTTTTCATTTGGGGAAATTTCAAAACATTCTTACCACTCAAACAGTATTTCTTGTTAAACTTTAGAGCATAACTAAAACACATTGGTGCACATTAGCATAAAATGTCACATATCCCTCTTGTTCTCTGGTCAGTGTTCACAGTCCTAGTCAACGTTCACTAAATACATCTTTTCATGACTCTGACACTTTGCATGTACTGTCTCTTCAAGAGATGTTCTTCCTGTTAGCAGTCAAACTTCAAAGGGTTTTCAAAACTCAGTTGTCTCTTTGCTTTATTCTGAGTTTCCCATTCAGTGAAAATAGGCCATAGTGTACCTTATATAGCAATAGTCCCTCATTCAAGATTAAGCTTTTTATAAGGAAGTGTTTTGTTTTATATAATTGTGTATGAATAAATATATTTAAGATTCAAAAATGAACAATATTTTGTGATAACATCATCTGTATTCATTGAGAAGCCAATCCCAAACCTATATAAGGAATATAAAAATGAGAATACCTTTCAACTTAGTAAAGATTGTAATTATGCTTTATAAACTAATTGTTAATATTTTGCAAGATTATCTATGTAGTTGATAGTGATCATTGTTTCAATAACATGAAAAGACTTCTAAATATCTAAGTTCCCAGACCCTAAAGTTGCAGTTTGACTCTGGTAAACAAAATTCCAAATGAAGAAAACTCAAGGGAATTTTTCTCCATTTACTTCCTAAAAGTATTTTCACCAACCAAGAGCTTGTAAAACTAAATATTTCAGTGACAAGAAGTAGGACCAAAATCATTTAAGATCCATGAACCCTCAAAAGTGTTTTTTATGTATTCAGTTTGAAAATGACACTATCATATTTTTCCAATACCAAGGAGCTATCATCATTAAATTGATGGATATGACTTGAAAAGAAAAACATTTAGGAAAACATTATGACATGATTTTTTCCAACATAATATTTTTATTGATTATTTGAGAATTTCACACCATGCACTCTGATCACACTCACTTCTCATTCCTCTCAGGTCCACCCCTCACCTTTGAGACACACACACACACACACACACACACACACACACACACACACACACACACACACACCGTGTACACGCATGTGTAAAGAAAGGAGGGAAAAAGGTCCAATTTGTATTGCCACATACTCACTGGAGCATGGCCAAACTCCCTGTGGTCAGCCCTTAAGAAAACTGAGTCCTTCCCCACCCACACCCCCTACAGAAGCCATCAATTGTAGAGAGCTATCAAAATTTTTAAGAGTTCTCTTCGATGGCTTTCTGCCTAGACTGTTAATTTTGGGGAATTGGGGGCAGGGGGTAGGGATTGTCACCAAAGCCTTCTATGTCCCTCTTTTTCAACTGCAAGTCCATAGTCACCAATACAATGCAAAAGTAGCTTCCTTGCCCCTTACAGTCAGTGGGAGCGCAGATCATGGACTCCCACATGGTTTTTGGTGATAGTACAAACCACAGACATCCATATGGTCTCCAGTGTCAACATGTGCCACAGACCTTAGCATCATCTCCAGTGGCAATATAGACCAAAAATGTCACACATCCCTCTGTCACAGCATGGGCTATGGATACCTTCATAGCCCTCAGTTGCAGCACAGACCAAGGACATCAACATGGTGTCTGGGGCAACACAGGACATAGAGAGCAATATAGTCTATGGTGGCAGCCCAGCCCATAAACATCAACATGGCTTCAGGCTGTGGCACAGACCACAGACATCCACAAGGCTTCAGCAGTTACACAGACTATAAACATCAACACTGCCCCTGGCTGCAGCAGGACCATGGTCTCCAACATGGATGCTGGTGGCAGCACAGACCACAGATATCAACATGGCCCAAGGCAGCAGCACAGAACACTCATATGAACATGGCTTCAGGCAGCAACCCGAACCACAGACACTAATATGGCCTCCTACAGTAGCCCAGACTATGGACATCTACATGAACCTCAAGCTTCAAGACGTACTAAGGCAAGGGACCACAGATACCAATATGGTTTCCAAGGACAATAGAAACCATAGAGATCTTTTGAGGAGGTCCAATCCAGAAAACGAACCATTCTTCATCTCAGACATCCTGTTGCTGCTCAGAACCAGGGTGATTGTGCCGCTGGGCAGCAATTTGGGGGGCTGAGTCTGAACAAGCTCCAGGCTGCTGCACACCACCCTGTTGGCCTTACTTGGCAACAAATAATCCCTTCTCCACCATAGCCTTCTAACACAACTGTCACTACCATTGAGTCTCTAGTTCCACCTCTCTCCACCACACACTTAGCACTCCATTCCTCTATCATTCCCACCTCTCCATCAAATATTCTTTTGTCATAGTGGCATTGGAAACTGCAATGTGTCACACAGTATATTTTTTTCCAAACACCTTTGCATGTAAATATTCATTGCAACAAGTCATTTTGATCTGGTTCGAGGGTTCTGGTTTCTGAAACACCATGAATACTGTAGCATTGCCAAGACTCATCTCAGCTATCCTACTGTTACCCAGAGTCAGAACAACCCTGTGGCTAGGCAGGATATCCAGCTTTCTGCTTGTAGCCTAAATGCAGTACCACTGCCCCACACTCTCCATCTCCCAACAGGCAAGCAGCCAAGGCTGCAGCTGCAGTGGAGCACGGTGAGGCCAGCCAGTGGGTATAGGACCAGCCCTATCCAATAATGACATCTGGCTCCGCAGGATGACTCCTCCACTTGCTCCATCAGCTGGTAAATGGAGTAGATGTTGGGGTGGACCCATTCGAAGTGCTGAAGCTGGGACTGGATGGTAGCCAAGTTAGTCAGTCCAGGCCTCCACCATGTGTGAGTATCTCCTCTTCCTCAAGATCCATGATTTATCTTTTAAAACCCTCTGAAATTCTTTAGTACTGTAACATTCCTTAGGGGCATAACTAGTAGTGATCTAAATTCTTTTAGAAATTTTAATGATTTATATTGATTGTCACCTTGACTAGACCTAGAATCACCTAGGAATAGAGGCCTAGTAGAGAAGCCATAGTGTGAAGCTGGGAAGTTGGAGCCTGGATTGCCTTGGAGAACCCAAGATGTTAGAGAAGCCAGAGTCATGAGATACCTACTGAGGAGAGCTGCTAACAAGAAGTGGAACCAACCCAAGAGTAAGAAGTATGGTGCAATCAACAAAGCTGAAAGGAGTTAGAGATGTGGAGAATGTTTTGACATCAGGCATAGAGATGCATAGTTTGGAGTTATCCCAGCTGGTCTTCCATCTTGTTTTGGTCCATTATTTTCTTGCTCCTTTCCTTGAATTTTGGAATGGTAATATATATCCTGTGCCATTGTATGTTGGAAGCATGTGATCTGCTTTTTGATTTTTACTTTTACAGATGATCACAGTTAAGAGATTGCATGAATCGCAGAAGAGACTTTTAACTTTAAAACATTGTTGAGACTGTGATAGACTGGGGACTTCTGAAGTTGAACTAAATGCATTTTGCATTATGATATTGTTACAAGCTTATGGGAACAGGGAATGGAATGTGGTAGTTTAAATGTAATTGGCCTCCACAATCTCATGGTGAGTGGCACTATTAGGAGCCGTGGCTTTGTTGGATTAGGTATGGACTTGTCGGAGGAAGTGTGTCACTGTGGGAGTGGGCTTTGATGTTTCCTATGCTCAGGATACCACCCAGTGAGTCAGTCAACTTCCTGTTGCCTGCAAGATGTAGAACTCTCAGCTATTCCTCCAGCAGCACATCTGCATGCATGCCCCCATGCATGATAATGATTGAACTGTGATGATAATGGATTGAACCTCTGAAACTGTAAGCAAGCCCACTTGATTAAATGTTTTCCTTATAAGAGTTGCCCTGGGCATGGTGTCTTTTCACAGCAATAGAAACCTAACTTAGACAGCTACCTAATCCCTTTGGATCTCAAATTATTTCATCATGAATCCTGGCTACTGACCATGGAGTGAAAAGATTTAATATTTTCCCCAGTGGACTTTGCTCTTGTTGTGTTCTGACCATTCTTTACTATGATCCCATTCCTCCCACTTGGAATAGAAATGTTTACTTTGTGCCAATGTGTGTTAGGTATATATACTTTTTTATTGATTTACTGGGGTTCAGAGTTAAGATAATGATTTGAGTCCCAGAAAAAGATTATATTTTTAAACAGTGTTGAAATTGTTAAAGGATATGAGTATTCTTGAAGTTGAACTGAGCACATTTTGCATTGTGAGATGATAATGAACAAGAGGTGCAAGGTTGACTCAAAAGTGATATGCTTAAATGTCAAGTTTGCAAGAATTGGATTTGTGATTGTTTTTATGACTTTCAATGTGGTAGGCCCTAGAGTTATATGAAAAAGAGCCTCTAAGCATGCCCATGAGGGATTATCGAGGTTTGATTACCCTCTAGGCATGTCCATGAGGGTTTATCTAGGTTATGTTAGCCTCTGAATATTGGTAGAATTATTAAAACAACTCCACAGGGTTGGAGGTTTATTTTGTGGAGTAACTTACAATTGAAGGGATAGGTTATAGGATCTGGGAAAGGTAAAGCACAGTCCAGCAGTGTTCTCTGGAGAACTCTGCTTGGTCTACCTCCAGCCTCCAGGATCCAGCAACCAAGGGAGCTGGCCCCTCCAGATCTCAGGTCTTCAGGGGTCCTGTCTCGGCTCTGCCTTGTAGGCGTGACAGTTACCGAAGCCTCAATGAGTGTAATACTTCCAGGTCAAAGCTGGAACAGCTACCCACTACACCTGAACATGTCCCTGAGGGATGATCTAGATTAGATTAGCCTCTGGGCATGCCTATGAGGCATTAATTAGGTTAGGTTAGCCTCTGAGCATGCCCATGAGGGATTATCTAAATTAGGTTAGCCTCTGGGCATGACCATGAGGGATTATCTAGGTTAGGTTAACCTCTGGGCATGGCTATGAGGGATTATCTAGGTTAGGTTAGCCTCTGTCCATGCCTATGAGGGATTATCTAGGTTAGGTTAGCCTCTGTCCATGCCTATGAGGGATTTTCTTAAGGTTGATATAGGAAGATACACCCTAAATAAAGGTGGGATCATTTTATGGGTTGGGTCTTGAACTGAATAAAAAAGGGAAAGGTAGCAGCAGCAGCCATCACTCTCTTTTTCCTGACTATGGATGCAATAGAACCAGCTGTTTCAAGTTCATGATTACCTGCCTTCATCATCATGATGTACTGTACCCTTGAAACATGAGCAAAAATAGATCTTTTCTCCCTTAAGTTGCTTTCATTGGAGTATTTTATTATAGCAGCAGGAAAGGTAACTAATACAGACATGCAAATATGCCACATTTGGTTGCTTCCCTTGCATTTAAATGTGGCCATAAAAGTGAACCATAGCTTTTATAATGGGAGCTAAGTGATATATGTCCTATCTAAATCTTGCTAATAAATGCATCTTTTGTAGTTACATATCTTATTTTTTTAATATTCTTTTGTCTTGCTAGTATAGATGCTTCAAAGGAAGAACTTATGGCAAGTCATAGATGAACAAGAGTAAGATCTTGAGTCACCTTTGAAGGAAAAGTCACCTGGCCATTTGCACTAACTTTTAGGCTTTACTATAAATAATAAAAGTTGCTTATTGTGTATAGTCACTGAGATTTTGTAGTGCATCTATTATAACAGCTAGTGTTAATTGTACCAGTAGTATAGTTTTCCATCAAATGAGAGGACTTCCATATTTCTTATGTTCAAAAGTTCTGTAATTTTCTTTCAAGTTTATTCTTTGGAAATTTCAAAAATGCATATAATAAAATATGATTTATTAATCCCCATTATTACCTTCCAGCTCCCCCTGGATCCCTCCTAATACACCTCCCTCCCAACCTCATGTCATGTCTCTTTTAAAAAAAAAATAAATAACACACTAAGTCCAATTAGTGTTGTTCCTATGTACAAGGGTGCAAGGCCAACCACTGGAGCATGGGCAACCTGTGGTCACACATCCAAGGAAAAATGACACAGCCAACAACTGTCAGCATCAATAGCTCCTCAGTTAGGGATGAGGCCTTGTGAGCTACTCGCCCCAACCCATGCTGGACCTTTGTCTGGCTTGACCTTATGCTTCATATCACTTCATGACAAAGATACAGTAACATAGCTTATGTCAAATAGACAGTGTTTGTGCTGTTTTCACATAAAAGCATTCACACAGAGGTGCTGAGTAAAAAGAGGCATGAAGAAATGTTTATAAATGTCATTAAATGGCTGATATTTAAGGGAAAATGATTATTGACTGGTCATTATAAGCTGAGGTATCATTGAGGTGTACAAACTTCCTGCATGATGTTTGTTGGTATAGCACTGCTCATTCATCTCTCTCTTGCTCACAGTTTCTCTCTCCTTTTAATATTCCGCCGCTGAAAAATCTTGCAATTACTATCCTCCTACTGAGTTAATACCTCCCTGAGAATATATGACCTCAATTGCAAAGCATATTGGGTCTCTCTACGGTAATTTTAAAATAAATCTGATCCCATAATAAGAAGGCCACAGAATTCTTGAAAATCTCAAGTAACACAAACAACTCCATTTCTGCTAAGTTTTTCAATAACAAGGGTTATATCTAAGGAAGAACTTTATAGAATGATTTAAAATGACCTAAGATGAGGAAAATAAACAAAAATTGAACTGCTCCTACATTTTAATGGCCTGACATTTGCATCATTACCTTATTCAATAAGTACTTCTTGAAAGGCAAGTGAGATGGCTCAGTGGGTAAGGACTCCAAGTACAAAGAGAGACCAAATTCCCCTAAGTTATCCTTTGACCTCCATGCACATGCCATGGCATGCACTTGTTACATATACAACACACACACACACACACACACACACACACACACACACACACACACACACTAAATAGTTAAATGGCATAGGAAACGGGAGTGCAGGGTATAGGCCATAATATGGGATGGATAACACTAAAGACCTTTGAAAAATTATTGTGGAAATATACTGCTATAACATCTTCCTAATATATATATAAAAGAAGTCTAAAGATGTTAGCCTACAACAGGGGAACAATGTCTCTCCCAGAGAGATTCCATAAGCTATCAAGGAAAAAGGTCAGTGCCAGGAATGATGTACCTCTCTTTGAGTTATTGGTCCCTAGATCATCCACCAACATTGTAGGCTATTGCCATTAGTCTTAGTTACCCTTCAGAACTTAATGGCAAGAGCCTGTTTCTGAAGACCACATGGAGAACTAAGGTGTCAACATAAAAGCCTCACCACTACTGGCTATCTCTCATGGTACTGAAGGCTTCTATGCATGCTACTGAAGATGAAAATTAATTATCATTCAAACCGAGAATGAAACCCTGCAAGTTACAGTCACTTGATGGCCTGGGAATATATGGCCACTGTGTAACAGTGGAACAAATGTTATAGGAGCAACCAGTAACTTTCTGATTTGACTTAAGATCTGCTCCACAAGGCAAAACTCACATCTGGTACAATTAACTCATGGCTGGCTATGGCCATATAGGAGAACTTAATACTATTAGTCTACTAAATAAATATAGTATAAAACTACCTCCTAAGTTATCACATTTATAGCTAAAGTTTAGTACATCTTAATCATAGCAGCTTCTTTTTGTATTAGATAGTGATTAATATAGACCCACAACTGGGCAATGTGTACAAAACAAGAGACTGTGGATTGCTCGGCTCTAAATGGAAAATCTATATCATATCCTGCCTCACAAGGCTCAGTGATCACTGTGGGAAAAGAAAGGAGAGATTGGAAGGACCAGAGATGATAAATATTTGTGAGAAACACTATTTTCTGAATATGACAGAGCTATCACACACATGAGCTCTCTGTGGCTGTGACTGTATATATAAGGCCCACCCAAGATCAAGCCAACCAAAATCTCAGCATGGCTAGAAGAGCGATTCAACAAGACTCACCCCTAGTTGAATTAGCTATTGACCATTGATGACTACTGGGGGAGCAAGAGTTAGTTTTCTACAGGGATGCAGGCCCTAAGAGGATACCCACACTCTAGTAGATGGTTCTACACCCATTTACACATAGGCATCACTAAGTAGACTCTGAGTATTCAAAAGGAATATGTAAAGCTGGGAGGGAAAAGTGGTGGTGGGAATAGGAAAGGAAAAGTATACAAAACAAAAAAGAAACAATTTATATTCCAAAATGTATTTATTCAGAATATACAATATGCTAAGCAATATAGTAGCCATTAAGTGAGCACTTGACTTTCAGGAAAACACAAACCAATTTCTTATATTCTTTTTATTTCTGAATACTAAAATATTTATCCAATACATGATAGAAAAAATAAGTCAAGTTGTAAGTTCACTGTTAATAAAATACTTGGGGGCCTGGATAGATGGCATAGTAGTTAAGAGTCCAAACTGGTCTTGCAGAAGACCCAAGTTCAGTTCCAAACACCCACATGAGGCAAGTCATAAGCCAATGTAACTCCAGACCCTGAGGTCTCATACCCTCTTTGGACTCCTTAGGCACTTTCACTTGGACATGTACCTACCCATACACAGACACAGACATATACAAATAATTTTTAAAAATAAATCTAAAAGAGAGTTGTTTAGAAATACTGATAATTACATGGGACTAGATACCATATGAAGGAAAGAATGTCATCTAGAAAATGATTTAAAAATAAAATCAATATGAGAGAAAAATAAAAAGATATGTTAAGAAGATAAAAATAAAATCAAAGTAAATATACAGACAAACTCTCAAATTTCAGATAATGATCGCCTTTGTTCAAACCTCTTAGGAAGCAGAAACTAAAACAAATAAAGTTGGTGACATTTTACCACAGGATATAAAAAGGGCTTTATTCAGGACACGCCATGAAAGGGGGCGGGGGGACAAAGAAGGAGAGCAAAAGAACATGCAAATAAAAGCCAAATAATGCATCATTACACTGGATTCATGAGGAACCATGAAGAGCCCTAGGGGCTCTCTCAGTTCAGGGATTTCTTTGAAAGGTTTGTAAAGCGAAACTTTAATGTTGGTTAATTCAAAACAATTTGAAAGGGCAAATACAGTATCCTCATCTCCCATATTACCTTCATGCAAAGCCAACAACTCCCCATGCTCCCACACTGCATCATCCATCCTTGTGATGATTACAGCAGAAACCACATTCCATACCCTCCATGCCATTCCATCCAGGACTGGAGAATTAGAGGTAAGCTGGAGTACATGAGAATGTCACTAAAGATTTATGTGGCGTGTAAACATGGGACTCCAAACTACTCAGGTTGTTATAAAGTGCCTGTCATAAAAAAAGCAGGATAAAAATAAGACCACCATCCTGGGAAAAAGAATTAAAGGAATAGAAACAACTTAGTACCCACAAGACAAAAGGCCCCTGACAGGGTTATCCCTTAGCCTGGCCTCCTCAAGTGCTTTTTATCTCAAGAATAACCCAGAAGGGCATCATCGCTTCAGTCTGCAATGATAGCTTCTCCTCTTCTTCTACATGCAACCTTTTCCCCCACACAATGCTGCCTTACCATCCCATAATTCTGAGCAGAATCTCCAGATAGGTTGATAAATCAGCATCCTTGCTGCAGTGACTGAGGATGATTGCTTCTGAGATGGAATAGTAAAGGTTAAGTTTTGAGGAGCATGCACAGTGGAGGCTAAACAAAGCCACAGTCTGCCATAGTTTGAATCTTAAATGTTGGCTAAAGATTCATACACCAAAGGTTTGGCTCCCCACTTTTGGCACTACTGGGAGGTAGTTTTTACTAGGACTTTAACAAGTGGAGTCTAGTAGAAGATAGTCAAGACATAGGCTCTGTCCTTTAAGACCTTGATCCCTTCCTGTCTCTCTCTTGTCTAGTCTCCATGTGGTGAGCAGCTTTGTTCTACATGTTTCCTACCATGACGTTCTGTCTCACCACAAGTCAAAAGCAACAGAACCAACCACAACAATGGACTGAAACCAATGAATCTGTAAGCCAAAGTAAGCCTTCCTGCTCCAAAAGTGAATTTATCTCATGTACTTTATATTGACACAAAGTGAATCTATACAACCCTGAAAGGTTACTTGCCTAAAATTTTATAACATACTATTGTTTATTCCTGGATCATTTGGCATGTCACACTGGTGTAGATAAATCCTCCAGTGCAGAGTCCAACCTTGAATGTCATGCATCAGGCCATATCCAGACACCTCCACATTTCAACCCAGGGTAGGAACACAACACCTCTTAGGGAAGCCCTTGTGTTCTTCAGCAGTAAAACTGCTAGCTCATCTGCTGATTACACTACAGCTGTCCTACTAGTGTGTCAATTGGTGCATGAAATGGTGAAGCCCTTTGGTTTCCTATGTCTTCCAGGAGGTTATGCAGGCAGAGAAGCAGTCCTGATTTGGAGGAGCTTATGGACTCCATACCTCCTCTAGCTCTGTCTTTCAGTCACAAAAGTTTCTCTCGATTCTCCTCTACCCACACCTCTTGACTTGTCTCCCAATATACAAATCTCTGAAGGAGATTCTGTCCCAGTTCACATGTAAGAAAAATAAATAAATAAAACAAAGGATCTATTGACTGTTTAGTACCTGTTACCTGAGCTGGAGCTATGATCAAGTCTAATAAAAGAGGGTACATTAAAGTAAAAAGGAAAGAAAAATAAGTCTAGACAAATGTATCTACAAATTCGACAAACTACTGCTATCTAATAGTGTTTCTAAATAGGAATCTTTGTTTTAAAATAGTTATTCTCAATCTCACTAGCACAGTTAATTTAAAATATTATTTTTACTACAACCCTTCATGACCTACAAAGACTCTATAACATAATTACACATTTAAGCTAGTTTGAAATTTGGTCACTTTGGCCTGATGTGGTCAGAATTACAGGACTTATATTTCTAAATATCCACCATGTGGGAATAACATTGAAATTGAGAAATGATCTCCAAACCTCAGAATGGCATAGAAAGGTGGTCATATTGATATTAGAATGAAAAAAAAATTAAGGAAAGAGTGATTATCACAGATGAAGCACACTTCTTACCTGTGTCTCTCTGTTACACCTATCAAATGTGTCTAATCTGAAAAGGCTAAAGCAGCTGGCTATTTGGACAGAGGATCCAGGATGAACTAACCTATGGAGCACAAAGGCTTCTCCACCAACTATATCCACAGAAAAACTAAAAATATAGTTTTCCAGATTAAGGAAATTAGAACGCAATGCACTTTTATTTCAACACAATTTGGATTTAATCATTTTCCTATGTCAAGGACCACACAAGTCACTAAGAACAAAACAGTAAAATAAGTAAATAAATATTGCCCTTCCCTTTCTTGAGTTTATAGTCCTGGTGGGAGAAATAAATAAACAATGCATAGTCCTGTAGGAGAAACAAATCAATAACTAAGTAAACAAAAATTACCATAAAACAAAAAGTAGTTGATAGTGCAACTTGGGGTATAAGCTACAGTGGACTGTTGGTAACAGCTTTCCTCTTGTAAGATGTGATCAAAAGAATGTTGATTATCAAGGTAAACAGTGGTAGAAAGGAACTGTAACCCAGGAAGGAAAAGGTACATGTGAATATTCAAAGCAGGAAAAACCATGTTCCCTTTGGGACCTAAGAGGCCAATAGTCTAACAGCAAGGAAAAGAGCACATGACAGAGCTTCAGAGAAGGGACTTTGCCACACTACTAGGTTTTTTACTGTAAAGTGATATTAAGCCATTGCAGGGTATGATAGTTAGCTTTAAATGTCAACTTCTCACAATTTAGAATCACCTGGAAACCAGGTTTCAACTGAGAAATTTTCTAGGTCAGGTTAGCTTATGAACATGCATGTGGGAGATTGTCCTGATTATTAACTGATGTAGGAACGCCCTGCACATTGTGGGCAGTAACATTCCCTAGGCAATGGACCCTAAACTATGTAAGAAAGAAGAAAATTAATTGAGAAAAAGTAGAGAGCAAGAAATCAGGAGTTCACACATCTGTTTTCACCCTGCTCTTCATTGTGGACACGATGCGCCTAGCTACTTAAATTCTTGCCTTTATTTCTGCAAAATGAGATACTGTACCCTGGAACCATAAGTTGAATAAACCCTTCCCTCCCCTAAGATGCTTTTGGTGGAGGTATCTTATCACAGCATCAGAAATAAAACTATGACACAAGGTTTGTACATTAATCCCTTATGCAAACTTAAATAGCATTCAACAACCAGCATGTCACCTCTAGCTATGAATAACAGGAAAGCCAAAGATCTAAAAAGGAACAATAACCATGTCAGGAATTGGAAGGAAGGATCATTATTCTGAAGGCAGCATGATGATATAACATTAAACTCCAAATAAAAAATCATTTCTCCAGTGCACAGCAGGCTCCAGATTATACAGAAAGGAGTTAAGAAGAAGGCAAGGATCTACTCTCAAGGATTTCATCATCTAGTGGCAAGAGGAGGCTTTTATTTGAAGAAA